CATGGTGATCTAGCTTCAATTGACTTATGATTTCAACTTGTGAAATTAACTCTGAAATGCTTGTTATCATCTTCTATAATATCATCGATGGTTAATGCAAAAATAAGAATGAACTTTCTTTATTATTCAGTGTTATTTCTATTCAAGGTGTATTTGTCAGTTCAACTATTCCTTGAAATTTGGTGTATTAATCATTTGATATGATTTTTATGTGAAAAGCATTTTAAAACATTTTACAGGATAAATTCACTTCGTATTGTTTACTTGAATATTTCGTTTGATGTTAAGGACTACAATTGATCAGTCTCATGTTGGCATATGTACATCCTGTGTGGATTACCTTGATACAATCTTAAGTCACAAGCTTTTCAAAATAAAGATGGATAGTGGTTACCAGTGGAATCCAGTTTGACGCACATTTCGTCCTATTTGTGACTCGTCATCTGGATATGTCTGCATCTCGGAGTTGATATTCATTCCAGGACTCGAACCCAGTACCGATCACTTCAAAAGTCATCCACCAGCTGTGAGTTCACAATATGTGAAACAGTAGGAAAAATGTTAACACTGGACATTCACTGGAAACCTGTGAATAACCCTTTACGCAAAAAATCTTAAACTTTACATATAAAACAAAATTGTTATCTTTTAGGTCTATTATAATTGTGATCTTTAGATTTTGTAAGTCTGCATGATTTACCCTCTCCCATACATTACTGAGATAGCAAACCTGTTGGAAGTTATATGATTATGTTGTGCAATGCATGTCACACTTATATGACTTCAAACGTTTGATATTAATAAACAAAGATGGATAGTGGCTAGCAGTGGAATCCAGGACGCGAGTTTCATCCCGTTTGAGACGCGTCAGCTGGATGTACCTGCATCTCAGAGTTGATGTTCACTTTGGGACTCGAACTGAGTACCGTCCGCTTCAAACGCCATCGCGTTATCCACTTAGCTACTGAGTCCTGTTAGCCACTTGCTTGCGCAATGGAGTGAAGTTTAATTCACTTGATATTGTTTTACTTGAATCTTCCTATTGATGTTTTAGGACTGAAATTGATCAGTCTCTTATTTGCATATGTGCATACTGTGCATATGCCTCGATATTGCCTTAATTTACAAGCATTATATGCAATGATGGATAGTGGCTAGCAGTGGAATTCAGGACGCGCGTTTCGTCCTGTTTGGGACTCGTCAGCTGGATGTATCTGCATCTCAGAGTTGCTATTAATGATGGTATTACTTGTAATTTATAGTCCTGTAATTTTTGGTGTATTGTATGGGTTACTGCAAAATCATCAGTGATCAATTAATCCACTTCCATTTTCATAAAGTTGTTTTTAATCGAAAATCATTATTTGTAAAAATGTCAATAATAAGAACGTATTCACAATAAGCTATGCACTCTAAAGATAATCAAATCTAAATAAGCCTTGGAAACTGTAGATTCCATGGTATTGAAATCTCATTAATTTTATTTGCAATACAGTCATTTATAACACTGATGATAAAAAAGATTATCTTATTGAAGTGTTTTACTCACAACCACTAAGTCTTAAACTAAGACAAAACAGCTGTTAGATCTTTTTGATTATCAATTATTTCTTAGCTAATGTCATTTCTTTATCGAAGCCGGCTTCATCTTGAAAAAAACCACCATACTAAACAATAATTGGTAATCATTTGATAATTAGCTTCAAAGTGCATTCCAACGAATCCAGTGAGATATTGGCGGAAGAATTGAACCATGAATAGAGTACCGTTATCATCAGTGACAGTGAATAATTATTCCATTATATTGTAATTTGCTCAAAGTTGAAATTTTTGAACGTTGAGTTCTGACTTGCGATTTAACAATTTTATTATTTCACTTAGAGAACGAAATATCTAACCGATTATCATAATCACTGTTCTAACACGACACAATCATCTGTATTGCCAAACTATGATCGCTTAAAATGATCATGTGCATGTTTTCGAATAAATCTCCTCTATAATAATGTATGATGATCATAATAAACTATCTATTCAAGCTTTAACAATACAGAAAAGTATAATTTATTGATTAATGAACCAATAAGGTAATTGATTATGTTAATAAAGTTAATTGAGAAGTACACTTGACTAATCACTACATTGTCCATTGGGGAATCTGTATATATATATATATATATATATATATATATATATATATATATATAGAGAGAGAGAGAGAGAGAGAGAGAGACAAGAATCGTCAAACCATTAGAATAATGACGGACGAAAGTAGACTTATTCTCCATTTTCTTTCGAACCTTTCCCTCTCCACCATCAAAACACAATTGATCAATGTTGAGTAGTTTCTAAATTGAAATTACTAATCGTAAATTGTCGCTGTTCTTGAAAATCAACTTTGAATGAATAAAGAGACAGATAATTAAAAAGAAACATCTTTTTGAATTTTGACGAGTTATAACAAAACAATCATTTTCACTATTGATAAAGATATTTTATCAAGATTGGTTTAATTAATTGGTGGTATCCATCATAGACTGACTTGTGGAGTTCAGACATTTCACAAATGAAATAGTAAGCATTGATAACACTTAGGCAATACGGCATTTCTGTCACAAATTCATTGAATTAGGAGAAAATTATATCGTAATCCAAAACTAGCAGCAAGACCTAAAAACGTTGAGTTTGATCTCCATCATAGTCTTGAAGAGTTTTGTGCTAAGACTAAAAATTTGTCCAATACTCAGTAATTTCGACTGGTACCTTCAATGTGGTGATCAATATCATGTGAAAGCCATTTCATTTATCCGGAGAGTGTAACATGTTTCGATGAGAAAACTTTCGAAATAGTAATCGTTTAATGTAGTAAAATGTTGTATTATTTAAATTATTTAAAAACACTAGATATATAGTAAATATGTTGGTGGTTACACGGTGTTAAATTTGGATTTGTACTAAACAGTACATTTTCATCTAGTGGTCGACTAAATTATGAAGACCTCGATATTTGAGGGAAAACATGGACGGAAAACACTAACCCAATCACATTTGATGGAGAATGTCTGGAATATGTAGAATCCTTCACGTGTATGGAAAGCATCATCGATGAACAAGGAGGATCAGATGTAGACGTAAAGGCGAGGATTGGAAACACAAGTACAGCATTCCTACAATTGAAGAACATATGGAGCTCAAAGAAACTTTCAACCAATATCAAAGTTACAATCTTCAATACGAACATCAAAGCAGTCCTATTGTACGGAGCTGAAACTTGAAGAACTACGAAAACCATTATCCGAAAAATACAAGTGTTTATTAACAGTTTCTTACGCAAAATACTTCGGATCCGTTGTCTAGACACTATCAGCAACAACCTACTATTGGAGAGAATAAACCAGATTTCAGCTGAACAGGAAATTAGGAAAAGACGACGGAAATGGAAATCACAGATTGCATCACGAGATAAGCTCTAACTTGGAATCTTGAAGGGACTCGGTAAAGAGGAAGGCCAAAGAACAGATTACGTTGGGAAATAGAATCAGCTATGAAAAGGATGAATAACAACTCTAAAGAGCAGGAAAGGATTGCATAAGACAGAGTTGGATGGGGAGTGCTAGTGGTTGGCCTTTGCTCCTCCACGAGGGGTAATAGACGCAAGCAAGTAAATAACTAAACAGTTCACGATTCAGTCTCTAATGTGTACTTGTTTTTTTGGAAAAATAGCAATTAGATCAAGTATGTAGTTTCTAACCAAATCAATAAATTATTTCTATACACTTGTAAAATTGTTTCTACCCATACATTACCATGTACTTGATTGAATGTTATTAAAAGATGAGAGGAAATAATCGATAGATCTTTGAACAATTTTTTGAGTTCCTCTTTATTGAATAAAATAACAGATTTGAGAGGAAATTCAAGATAAACAACTAAATTAGAAAGTAAAACTTTTGATCTGTTAGCCAATTAAACAGATAATTCTCTACTTCAACATTTTTATATGTACTGCAGTCTAATACGACAGTCGCTAATCAATATTCTATATGTTTTGTTGCACTAATCTGGTGAAGGTATTGAGTCATTTTTCCCATTATCGATTTAGTTTAGTTTAAATACATACCATGAGTTAATTGAAGTTAAACCACCATGGAAAAACTGGAAGCATAGGACGGCTACTTCGTTCTACTGTGGGACTTTTCAGTATGTGTGGTTTATCAATTTTTCTGAAAGTTAGTGAGAATAAACATATAGGAATGAAGGAAATAATCTTTATCAATTATGGAATTTGTCGTAAAACCTTATTTAATAACAAGAATGAGTTAAGAAATATGACTGAATACATAAATGAACTCTATCGTATTCTAGGTAAATCATAAATAAGAAAGACTAATTTTTGTGGAAAATGATAGACATTACCGGTGTATTATTTGACTTATATTTCCTTCGAACTATACACTCGTAATATGTAGATTATTCTGTATTAGCGATAGAGCTATATTCAACGATAGTTTTACATTTGTTGAAAACTGGATTTTAAAAGTAAACATTAAGTTCTGTGATTATATGATTTACATTCGAAAAGACACACTTCCTTTGGGACTGCTTAACCTGACACGTCAGTTAGACGAGTAAGAATTAATAGGAAGCCTTTAATCGAAAAACCGGATATTCTATACAGATCGTATATATATAAGACATAGCCGAGACTGACTGGGTTTATAATCGTTATGCTTTGTTCATAATTTCTCATCTTCCACTTGAAATTTGAGCATGAGCACGTGATAAGTTGAGACTCGCCCAGACTGTTGGGATATGTATGTATTGTACAAGAGAAGGATTGCTTTAGGAATTAAATCATAATTAATAGCTCATATGAAAAATAACCTGAATCATGTTTGTGAATTATATTACCTCAATTAAATATAGCAGCTCATTGAAAATAAAGGGTCTATTAATTGAAGCTACTAACATTATTGTATAGCAATCATATAACTTTAGTTATGATTGCTGAACGACGGAAGGTCAATCCAATTAGACATCATGTTTTAACATGCATTTCGGAGTCACTAAGCCTTAATATCAACAAAGTAATCACAGAATGCCAGCCAAATTATATCTGTGTTACTACTACTTCTACTATTATTATTATTATTACTGCTTCTACTACTACTACTACTACTACCACTACTACTACTACTACTACTACTACTACTATTACTACTACTACTACTACCAATACTACTACTACTACTACTATTACTACTACTACTACTACTACTACTACTACTACTACTACTACTACTACTACTACTACTACTACTACTACTACTACCAATACTACTACTAATAATCATGACAATAATAATAATAGTATTAATAATAATAATCCCAGACTTTATCATCATATGTTATTACAATAAATAGACAAAGTCAGTGAAAGGAAAACAAAAATTTTTATTGTTTAATTCAAAAGTATTTTGGGATAATTTGTACAATTATTATTCTGTTGGAAATTTGATTATTTCCCATTTCTATGTGAAGAATAGGTCATTATTATTATTATTTATTTTTTTATATACTCACTATACTTGTTAATAATCATGATGATCGTAATTAGGTTGTAAAACATTGTTAAGGTGTGTGTGTGTATGTGTTTATGTATGTCGGCTTGACAACTAACTTAATTTATAACCAGTTGATGATTTTATTTATGGAATATAATTTACAAGAAGAAGAATGGAATAATTTCCTTTTATGATATTATGAATTATATGGTCCTCTCAATTATCACATGACAAAATTGTCAACATATATGACCTTGTGCTTGCGCTAAACCAATGATGCATTAAACAATATGAACGGTTTAGTGTCTATTTTGATTGCTTATTAGTCCTCTGCATAGTGATTTTGCGCCTAGCCCAACCTGTTTACTCCAAAACATAAATACTAGCCCACGCTGTATGAATCGTATATATCAGACATACGTGGTTTATATACAAGAAAACCAAACCGTTCAAACCATAAAATGTAAAATATTAATTGTACAAGGTCGAGAAAACAGTGTCTGTGAGTGTGGGACACTGTAATTAATGGTAAGTCGTATAACAGTAGGTCGAACGAGAGCTTGAGTATATATAATCTAGTTACTCGTTAGTTATGCAATAAGAATGGGTATAATAATAGTCCATAAATATTTCGCAGCAATTATCATACATTAACTTTCGTTGGCATATGACATATAATGTAAGACGTATAGCAAAGAAATATAAAATATTGATTTCAATTGATTTGAAATAATCAACATAAAGTCTTACCTGATCTAAATTTTTGTGATCGTTGATACTTGTTAACAAACGCAGTTTACAATTCTCAGCTAATTGATATTGCCTCGAAAATCAAAATCTTGCATAAACAGATCAGTCCAAATAAATGGTATATATCGCAGTTAGATTGATTTAGTTCTATCAGAACTAGAAACTAGATTTATTTATATGTAACTTTCTTTGAGATTAAATATAAAAACATATCAATTAGGAATGGTTCTTTGAGCTGAATGGTTTGGTCATGGAGCTTTCATTGTTCTTTTGATGATGATATCGTTCAGAAGAATGATGAAAGCTCCATGATCAAACCATTCAGCTCAGTGAACAAAACTCCATCGAAATCGCTAAAGTACTTGTATCGTTCCAAGTGACATTATTTATTTATTATTTATTTGAACATATAAATACTGGTATAAGGAGGCACCAAATACATATGCGCCACACAAATCTCATTTCATTTGTGTGAGGGCTGCGATACTGTCCGTGTGCCCATGACCGAAACAGGTGATTTTCTTAAGGGGCCACACTCGGAGCCTTTGACCTAAAGGTCTGATTTACAAGGAAGTGGAGCATTGTAAGAAGATGCAGTCCCATGGTAGTCGGTGACCAATAATTGGTTCACACGCCATTTGTTCTCTTAGGGTACTGGAGCCCATGTGCACCATTAGTTTGAAATCAGGGTTTTTCAACTCCCCTAGATGGACTCTCCGTGTTTACTAACCCGGTTAAAGCGCCGAACATTCAAAGTAAATATATATAGTAGTAAAGAATACTCTTTCCAGATTTCAAACAAAATATTTATTCATACTTAAATTCTATTAGAAAACAATACGAAATAATTTAGTTTAATTCTTAGATCATCTCTCATGATTATGCTATTTGTTAAATGACTGAGCATTCTAGTAGTCTACCAAGGAATAAGTATACAGTTGTTTTTTTTTGTATCGTTTTACATCTATGAGATATGATCAAAGTAATCTAGAAACATAGATGGGAAAATTGTGTTAAACGAAGAAATTGTTCTGATTTTCAAACATTTCAATTCATTAATTATGTTATCCATATTGATTAACTGCAGTCATCAATGTAGAAGTTATGCTGTTCAAATGATCACAGTGTTATTTGTAATAATGAACAATGAGAAAAACTGTTTCTTTATAAATTGAATTAGTTATAACGAGTTATGTATTTCTGAATCTGAGTTTGTTATCAGTTAAATGTAACTAATCAGATAGTACGTATTAGACGTACTGTATATTAGTGATTGTAACATGTATAACAGCTGAGTATAAGTATGTTATGTTATTTAAAACATGTAAAATTAATATTGAACTATTATTAGTTATTAATAAATGAAACTCCGCCTGGAGGATCCTCTGGGGCTACTGTCGCTCCCAAGCCCGAATAAAGGAAGAGGGTTGGGTATGGAGTTAGCAACGATAGACATGAATGTATTTCATGATTAGAAACAGTTAAACAAAAATAGTGAATTAAAACAGAATGACAATGGGGTAATTTGTTCATCAATTAATAATTAACTATTATTGGAAGGGGTTTTTTGGAGATTTTAGTAATTTCAATGGTTAAAACCATGAGTCAATTGAAGCTAGATCACTATGGAAAACCTGGAAGCACTGGAAGGCCATTTCGTTTTAGTATGGGACTCCTCAGCAGTGCACATTCATGATCCCGCACCCCCCGAGGGATTTGAACCCAGGACGTATCAGTCTAGAGCGCGTGCTCTTAAACATTAGACCACTGAGCCGGCCGGCATCCAACGGTATTAATGTCTAGCTTCAATCAATCCACGAAGTTGCGCCACTGCACATCATTGTCTTCAGTGAGCTGATATCTCACAACAGACCTGGTTGAACTCCACTGGTAACTGCTTCCCACTAGAACTTCAGAAAATTAACTATTATCCTTAAATGCATAATCTCCCAATACAATGTTATTGCGACGTGTGCCATTGATGTCGACAGATATAAGTAGTATATATCATCAATCCAAAGTCGAATGTCTGACGTAAGAAAATTGAGGAAATTGAAGAGAGGAGAACAAGTACATGGAATGATTAGTATGGAAACTAAGGTACAACAAAATTTAAGACAATCAATGAATAGATTTTTCAAATGATGTATTTACTGTATGGTTCTTAAATTTTATCAATATATTCTATAATGCTGTGGTAAAATACATTTGCTTGTCTCCTCCTATGTTCTCGTTCATTACGCAACCAGCACATTAATTATTGCATATGATTTTGTAGTAAGCAGTTAACATTTACATATTGTTTATATACAAAAGATATCAGTTTATTTGTTATGAATAATGGTATACTGTTTATTTACGAAATTTACGAAACATTTCCACTTTGAATACATATTAATGTGGAATTAAAGGCAACTAATTGCATATCAGCATGCACCAACCCAATCACATTTCATGGAGAAGATTTGGAAGATGTAAAAACCTTTACATATCTGGGCAGCATCATTGATGAACAGGGTTGATCTGATGCAGATGTGAAGGCGCGGATCGGCAAAGCAAGAGCGGTATATTTACAACTGAGGCACATCTGGAACTCTCGTTAGTTTTATCAACATTTAAACTTGGATAAATTATAAATTTTAATAGTTGAATTCATGAGTCAGTGTGAGCTAAGCCACCATTTACTCCTCAGCAATGCGTGTTCACGATCCTACACATGAACGCTTAACCTCAAAGCCATTGGGCCGGCATCCAATGGTGTTATTGTCTAACTTCCATCGATCCACAAATGGCTGCTCAAACATTCATCCCTTGTCTCAGGTAGATACCTGTCTCTACCCAACACGGATTAAAGTCTACTGGTCACGGTTCCTCACTAGAACTCCATAAAATCATCTTGATAATGGATAGATGGTTGCGCAGCTATTTATGGATCTATGAACTCTAAACATTAACATCGTTAGATGCCAGCTCATTAGTCTAGAGGTTAAGCGTTCGCGTGAGAGATCGTGGAAGCGCACTGTTGAAAAGTAAATGGTGGTCTAACTTACATCAACTCATGAATTCAACTTTTATAATTACTACAATCTCCATAAACCCCATTCTGATCAAAATTATAAGTTATTATTACTGATTTGTTATAAAATCTAATTAAAAATATTGAACAAAGTACATGTCAAACTACGCTTCATTATTAATTGATCAGGCCTAGATCAAGGTCATCATATCATTTTCGAAAATAAAGGTTTTTAGTCATAAAAATATGCTCAAATTATTTATTTTATATTAAACATATCAATAGTTTATCAATCATAATCATTGTAGACAGAAATAATGTCAGTAAATAGATTGGTATTGAATTAGGGTAAAAGCTATGGTAGTTATTATTGAATACTATCATCAACAACCTACTATGGGAGAGAAAAAACCGAATTTTAGCTGAGGAGGAAATTAGGAAAAGGACATTGGAAGTGCATAGAACACAGATTGAGGAACTCATCAAATTGTGTCACGAGATTAGTTCTATCTTGGCATCGTGAAGGGAAACGAAAAAGCGGAAGGCCAAAGAACACACTGTGTCGAGAACTGAAAGCATACATGAAAAGGATCAATAGGAATTGGAATGAACTGGAAAAGATTGCCCAGTTCAGAGTTGTATGGAGAATTCTGATGGTTGGCCTATGCTTGTCGATGCGGGGTAAGAGGCATACATAAGTAAGTAAACGATCATATCATCATATTCACTATCAGATGACAAAAACGTATAAATATATTAACTATGCTAATTTTTGTCCACGGACCAAGTAATTGAGGATAGCTGAAATCCCGTTTAGCATGATGTAGGGAATATATATATATCAAAGTAACCACATATCAAGATTCTGATTGTGTAATAAAGGTTTATCAATTCATCATTGGTTATTTAAATCTAATCGCAGTGTTAATTACTCTGTAATTTCGTCCTATGCTAACAATGTTTCACTGACATCTTTGATCACATACATGTATGTTTTCATAGATCTCCTATACAACTTAAAGTATTTATCACTATTACATCAATTTTCTGTGATCATGTTCAAGTACTCAACATGTATTAAATGTATAACACCGGAACTGACAACAACAACAAACTTAAATGAAACAGAATTATTCAAACTATTTACAAATGAGTGATTTCAATCAGTATTATATACATTTATTAACAAACAAAAAAAGTAAAATAAACAATGTTATTTGATATGTCATTCAGGAAGTAACCATTCTAGTTATTAGATACAATTTGAAACAAACAATAAAAGAAAATAGAAATTTATAATATTAGAAGGGGGGTGTTTTGTGAATATTTTATAGTAGGTTGAGATCATAAGTCCCTTGAAACTAGACCCCTATGGAATACTTGAAAGAATTTAGAAAACAATGTACCTAAAAAGCATCTGTTTTTTGTTTTGTTTGTTTAAAAAAAAGTTATTTCACATGATAACTTATTATAATGTTGTATATGTGTATAATTTTCCACTTCATTACTCATTAAAAGATTAACTCAATTGATTATATTGTAGTGGTACCCTGTAAAGAAAAGAATGTTCTGATCAGGATGGTGATGGTGATGATGATGATGATGATGATGATGATGATGATGATGATGATGATGATGATGATGATGATGATGATGATGATGATGATGATGATGATGATGATGATGATGATGATGATGATGATGATGATGATGATGATGATGATGATGATGATGATGATGATGATGATGATGATGATGATGATGATGATGATGATGATGATGATTTCATGAACTAATGTAAAGTTGAATGGATCCAAATTTTTGTCCCTTTATGAATTTCGATACAAGAATCAGAAGACGGAGTTGATCTGAAAAATGTAATGTATTTGCGCTATACATTTCGAATAATCTGATCACACATATACTTTTCAGGGCATCTTATATGAAAATTAATAAAGGGTAATTAAATGGAAGTTCAAGTAAAAAAAGTACCAGAGGGGAGCGAAACATTTTAAAATTGTATAGAAAGAATAAGATATTGTCAAGTTATCGTAGGTCATAGAATGACTTGAAGATTATCAAGGTAAATTCAAGGTTACGGCTAATTGTTTTTGAACACATGAGGGGGTTTAAACTTAAAAATAGTCAAGGTTTCAATAAACCTGAAAATTCGTCTTTGATGAGTTATCCAAAAGTGAATCGTTATGATAAAATGTTAGACACTGACATATCTACTGGAGATCATGGAATGTATCTATCCTCGTACATCTTAATCTATTTCATTGCCAGGAGAGTTGTAACTATTTCATATTTTTTATACTAAGAAAGTAATGTAAACTAACTTACTTTTCTGTCTTGCCACATTCCATATGTTATGTAAGTGCATATATTTTCTTCATTTTCTACGTCATTTAAAGAATTTTATTTAAACCATTATGGTAAATACGGTTGAATTTCATTAAGATCTACCTTGATATTTTAATGTGATCTGTTAATTTATTCGAGAAGTCACGGATGGATAGTTAATTGTAATTTCAAACTATATACATTCCTCAATATGAAAAAGGATAGCCAGCTAAAAAATCACATTTTTTGTTTAGTTATACAAACAATACATGGGTTGGAGAATGCCGGTCGATGGCCTATGTTCCACTGGGAGCGACAGACGTAAGTAAGTAAGTAAGTAACATGTAATATTTCCATATTTGGGATAGTTTATTGTGAAAAATATCAAAACCTATTAAAGTAAAGAAAAAACTCGGTTTCTTATGGTTTTTGCAAACTATGTTCTTCAATTTTGTAAATTTTTATATTTATTTATTTGAATATGTAAACATTGGTACAAAGGGGCACGAAATACATATGAGCCACATAAATCACTCGATTAGTATGTGGGCTGCGATACTGCCCGTGTGCTCAAACCAAAGCAGACTTGAAAGTCTAATCCATAAGGCAATGGAGCAATGTTAGGAAATGTAGTCCCATGGTAGCTGGTGACCAACAATTGGTTCATACACCATTTGTTCCTTCAGGATCCAGGAGCCTATGTGACCATTGCTTTGAAATCAGGGTTTTGCAACTCTCCTGGGTGGATTCTCCGAGTTCACTCACTCGATTAAAGCTCTAGACGTTCACTTTCCGTCCTCTCACGTTCATGAACAACACCACCGCCACGAGAAAGCAGTGAGTAGGACTTCCCTGGCAATGAATGTATACTTGTGGCTATGTGAGAGTATTTTGAGTGAGGGAGCTGACTCTCCCCGCCCTCGACCGTACCAAACCATTTGAAGGCAAAATTTTATATACCATCCATCATAAGCGAATATTGTGAAATTTATAAGTCATCACAACGAATATGATAACAGTTTGTATTATTTGATCTCTTCCAAACGAAATGTTAGATATCCGCTATCCTAGATATAAATATCACGAGGTAATAATGGAAATTATCACAAAAACGAACATAATTTACAAAACAGGATTTTCTATATCAAATAACATCGAGAAAAAATTCAATTATCCCAAGAAACCTGATTAAGGAAGGAGATTATCTGATAGACGAAACAATACAGTTCCATAACTAATAATTGAAAATTAGAAGGAAAACACTTCTATGAAGCACTTAGAAATACTCAAAGGAAATTATGGTGATAACAATAATATATATTATTGTTATTTTGAGGTGGTAAGAACTAGTTACCGGGACCCCTTAGACCTGGGTTTCATATGGGTTAGTACTGGTTATCAAGGCATTTATGTACCATTTCTGGGAACTGAAGGTCTGATTTATGTAAAAAAATATCCCACCTATTGGTTACATTTTAAATTGATTAATTAAATGTAATCATCACATAAAATTAGGTAACATAAGATCAATTATGTTTATGTTTTTTGATGGAGTTTTGTTCTCTGAGCTGGAACAAAACTCCATCAAAATCATTCATCTGAGCTACAAATCTTCTTCATCATCTCATTATGTTTACGTATTGAATCTATGTGTAAACTCTATCTGTTTTTAAAATAATCAACTTTGATTGCCTACTTGAACAGGTTACAGGTAAAGAATCTTTCGACGTCAATCTAAGATGATTTTATCCATATTAATCAGAATCTTTATGGAGTCATTAGTGAAATGTCCAGATATCCAGTGAATATTGACTAATAAGACTAATAGTTTTAATATATGGATATAACAAACTTGTTTATAATAAATTATTCTTTGTAGGTATTATGTAACCATGGATCATATTTACGTCTTATAAGTCATTTCAACTTGTGAACAACATAAAATGAGAATAAAAAAAACACCTTCTTCTGAAACAAACAAACAAAAATATTGATTAACTGTCATTTAATCTTTAGCCGTAAATGTTTACGGTCCATTTTACATCTTATAATTATATTTATTGCATGAGTTCAATTATTATCAACTATATCTTTTCTCTCACATGCCTACAATAGGAAAATATATGGAATTCAAAAGAACTGTCTGATAACCAATATCAAAGTGAGAATCTTGAATACGGACGTTAAGACAATTTAGATGCACGGAGCTAAGACTTGGAGAACCACCACAACCATCATCAAAGATGTACGAGTATTGATAAACAATTGTCTAAGTAAGATACTACCCACTGACCGGATACCATCAGCAATAGCCTACTGTGTTAGAGAACAAACAAACTTCCAGCTGAAGAGGAGATTATAAAAAGACGATGGAAGTGGATAGGACATACATTGAGAAAATCGTCAAACTGCAGCTCGAAGCAAGCCCTAACTTGGAATCTTGAAGGGAAGCGGAAAAGAGGAAGGTCAAAGAACACATTACGTTTGGAAATGGAAGCAGATATGAAAAGGATGAATAGAAACTAGAAAGAACTGTAAAGGATTGCATAAGACAGAGTAAGTAAGTAAGTAAGTACGCAAGCAAGCAAGCAAGTAATTTAGTACTAACTTTTCTCTAAATAACAAATTGAAACAAACTGAATCAACATAATCTCACTTTACCTAGTTTTTTATTCATTTCCGTTATTGTTATTATATTTTTTAATTTAACACACTTGTTTCTGAATGAAAACATCACAGCGGTAAATATCCTTGATCCTGTAAGAATCATTGTTAATTTCACAAACATTCTCATGACCAGTATTGTCGTTGTTGTTGTTGCTGTTTTCTTCTACTTCTTTTTAAAGCAAAAACTTTCTCGTTCATTATTTTTTTTACTTGAATGAAACCCATAGTTCTATAACTCATCTACCGAAAGTTCTACCACACATTATGTTTTTTTTATCAAAGGAATTTTAAACTTATCTTCTTTACTAATCTTTTGTTGTTGTTGGTGGTGGTGGTGGGGGGGGTGGGGGTGTTGTTGTTGACTGAAATAAATCTTTTAGACTTAAGACTTGATTGTTCTTGAGATAGGCAATAGATTAAACACAAGACTAACTACTACTAAGCTTATTCTTTTGTATTATTATAATATTATATCAATCTCATAGATTAAGCATTATCATATTACATAATATAATTAGTTTCAATGACTTTTAAGTTATATAGATGTGAAAAGATTTAATTGGTTTAATGGTTAACTGAAATATTGTAAGCAATTTTAAGGACAAAAGAAATAAAATATACATTCCATGCAACCAACCATAAATTAAATTCACTTGGTGTTGTTCAAATTGTATCTTCCCAATGTTCTTTAGGATTGTAATTGATCAGTTTCATGTTGGCATATGTGCATCCTGTGCGGATTGCCTAAATACGGCTATAAGTCACAAGTATAGTGAGTAAAGATGGATAGTGGTTAGCAGTAGAATTTAGTTTGACACGCATTTCGTCCTATTTGTAACTCGTCAACTGGATGTACCTGCATCTCAGAGTTGATATTCATTGCAGGACTCGAACCCAGTACCGATCACTTCAAAAGTCATCCACCAGCTGTGAGTTCACAATATGTGAAACAGTAGGAAACATGTTAACACTGGTCATTCACTAGAAACCTATGAATAACCCTTTACGCAAAAAATCTTAAACTTTACATATAAAACAAAATTGTTCCACTCTGCGATTAGAACTCAGTAATGCTCGCTTCAAACGCGAGTCCTGAATTTCACTGCCAGCCAATATCCATCTTTCCAACCATAAGTTGGTTTTGTTTAGAGATTGATACTATTTGAATATTCAGCCCACTGTTTAAAGATAGTGCTAATATGAAACGAAAAAAAGAGTTCATATTTAGCTTAGTTGAATTATTCGAATACCTGGCAACTATGCTGATTACTGTTGGAGACGTTTGGAAGAAAATTAGGGGTGGCCAAACTGAAACGTGACACCAATCATTGAAGTCACTAACTTCTAGTCTGAGCCATGTTGGTAGATGCAGACTATTCGGTTGGGGTCTGTGTGACAATCGTAACCAATGTTTGAAGAATCTTGGTGATATGGCTCAGAATCCATGATAATGACGTAGGTGTATATACTTGAGATAGTAGAGATTTGTAGCTCAGGTGAATGCTTTTGCTGGAGTTTTGTTCTCTAAATGAAGTTTGTGTTGATGATGTCGTTCAGAAGGACGATAAAACCTCGGCGAACAAACCATCCAGCTCAGAGAAAATACTCCACCAAAATCATCCACCTGAGCTACAAATGTTCTCTACCATCTCAAAACAAAATTATTTCAGATTATACTGCACCAATCGTCATTCTTGCTCTCTTCAAGATAATAAAAGCAACTATGTGTAAGAGTTGTCGTATGATTATCCAATATACTGTATTTAAATTTTGCAC